AGGAGGTCTCATTCCCGTTTAAAAAGGTTAAAACATTTGACATTACATATTCTATGTTTACAGGGTCTGCCAATGGAAAACGATAGGCTATAAGGTGGAGAACCTGGCTTCGATTCCAGACAGAGGCAACAGACTTTTTTTCTTCTCCACAGCGTTCTGACCGGCTGTGGCCAAATCAGCCTCCTGTCCAATGGATACTGGGGGCAATTATCCTAAGGGGAAAAGGGGCCGAGGCGTGAAGCGAAGCACTCACCTCCATGTAGTGCAGACGTCAAGAATAGTGGAGCCATAACTCCACTCCTCCAGAGGTGTTCATGACATGGTAAATAATTAATTAATTAAACACAAGGACAATTTTGCCTTTTGCGTACCAATGAACAAGGTGCTCATATGCTATAGGCCAGACGTGGTCACACGTGCCCCGTGAGTCGAATTCTTCTCTTTTCATCATTACTACAGGTCGCGAAAGAAATAAGTAATTGTTTCAAGTGTAATTATTATGGGAACTACACTGCGTAGAAAGCTTTGTGCGCATAACCTACACTATTCAGCCTGTTTCAGTTGATCATCATATGAGCCTCAGATATTTGGCAAGTTTGGCCATCCCTGCTATATTCCATGAAACCTCTAATTAAAAAACGACTGCAACTAAACTCTATCTCATGATTTACATGAGTAATTAAGAAGAAAGCCAGATTTAGTCGGTCCCTCCGGGTCAGGAATCGAACTTGGGGCCTCCCACAAGAACTCAATTCTAATGTTCAATTGTAATGTAACTTGTGATATTCCTACAATGCCTGTGCAGAACTCCTGCTTAGTAACTTGAATACCCGGCCCTCTTTTAAATTTCATATAGATTTAACTTTTTTTCCAGCATGCGTACGGTCTTCAGGTGAATAGCCGGATCCTCTGTTATCAGAACGACCTAGACACTGCGTGACCTGAGTCCAATCGAACGGTGGTATTGTCGTGACATCTGTGAGGATGTAGGAGAATCGAGGATTAAGAGAGATGAGAGATGAAGCAGTTCAGTGGCGGGCACAGATTTTGAAATCTTTTATACCGTTCTCGACAATTTCTCGTATGATACGAATGTGGACAAAAAAGAGAAGGCCTTCAAGATTATGATAATAAAGTGGACAAGAACGTAGAAGCGTTCCAGATTATGATACCAATGTGGACAAGAACGTGGAAGCCTTTCAGACTTTTATATGAATGTTGGCAAGAACGAGAAGGCGTAACAGATTATGATACGAATGTGGGCAAGAACGTGGAAGCGTTCCAGATTATGATACGAATGTGGGCAAGAACGAGAAGGCGTTCCAGATTATGATACGGATGTGGGCAAGAACGTGGAAGCGTTCCAGATTATGATACGAATGTGGGCAAAAACGAGAAGGCGTTCCAGATTATGATACGAATGTAGACAAGAACGTGGAACCGTTCCAGATTATGATACGAATGTAGACAAGAACGTGGAAGCGTTCCAGATTTTGATAAGGATATGGGCAATAACGTGGAAGCGTTTCAGATTATGATACGAATGTGAACAAGAACGTGGAAGCGTTCCAGATTATAATAAGAATGTGGACAAGAACGTGGAAGCGTTCCAGATTCTGATACAAATGTGGACAAGAACGTGGTAGCGTTTCAGATTATGATACGAATGTGAACAAGAACGTGGAAGCGTTTCAGATTATGATACGAATGTGAATAAGAACGTGGAAGCGTTCCAGATTATAAGAATGTGGACAAGAACGTGGAAGCGTTCCAGATTGTGATACAAATGTGGACAAGAACGTGGAAGCATTCCAGATTATGATAGAGTGTGGACAAGAAAGAGAAGGCGTTCCACAGTTTGATACGAATGTGAACAAGAACGTGTAAAGCTTACTAGTCCACTAATAAATAAACGATTTCGAAACTGTGACAGGCATAATTTAAAGCAAAACTTTTAAATTTCTTTGCATATGTGGAAATTTACGACAAAACTGGCCGATTCAAATATGTGGTATCGTGTAAAGCACTTGGAATATAATAAATAACAATAAAGTAATGCGTGGATTACTTCTGTACTTAGGAGAGACAATGTTCGCTAAAATTGTCTCTGGTGGTGAACCATTTCAGAATTAAGTCTAAGTCCAGCGTTTCGAAGAGCGCTCAATTCATGCTGTTATTCTACCGAGTGCATTATCCAAGTAAGACCTAAATGCACCTGCTTTATTGAACTTTTCACATTACTAAGGTCCGGGTTATCATTTTGTTCCTTGGCACTACAGCCCCAGTAGGCCTAGGCCTACCTCCATGAACTTCTCCGTTCACTTCGGTTTTTCTAGATCTTACACATTCGGTAGCACTCCTTGGGCACGTGATCAGCTCGTCGCAAGGCCTCTACCTGTACACAAACACAGAAAAACGCACACACACAAACTAAACATCCATGTCCTGAGTGGGATTCGAACCCACGACCCCGGTTTCCAAGCGATCGAAAACAGTACATGCCTTAGACCGCTGGGCTACCGTGACCGGCCCTGGTTATTATTAATTAAGTTTATTTATAACACTTTACCAATAATATTTCAGTGCATTTTACGCTAATATTTTCATAACTTTCTCAATGGGCCTCAAATTGTAGACGGAAAAACAATAAAATATATAAATAGCAACCTGGTGGTCGGATAATTATATAAATCGTAAATAGTTTTAGGGATTGGATCTGATCTTTCAAGAGATTAAACAATTTAAATATTAAACAATAAAGTACTGCTTACGTGTAACTAAAATTAACTTGTGCCCATATTTGCGTAATACCAAATTTCCTCTGAATAAAATTCCAAGTATGGCTTCAAAACGTTGGAATATTACTGACCATTCAGTGTTACAGAATTATAAGGGAGTCTGCGATGTGTTATTTGGGCGGAATTACGCCACTGAATCTAGAATGTGTGAGTTGGGTGTGGGTGGGAGTGGTTGCTACTGCTAGTGGTAGTGGAAGTGAAGTCTACTGTAGATTGCTGTAGTCTGACATGCAAAATGCATAAGATTCACATCCCCCCTCCCCGGTTTCTCAGATCATCCCTATTCCCATTCTACCAATCTCTTTTCCACTCTCCCATACGGACCTCTAAGCCCGTCACACTCTGTAACGTCTGTGCTGATGAAAAACTGGTCCCTTCTTATCAATCTGTCTATTGCTCTTCAGCCCTCTGTTGGACCTTCTCCGCTTTTTTCAGTTTCGTAATCTTTTACACAGTCAGCAGGACTCCTTGGACGGCGGTCAGCCCGTCCCAAGGCATTTACCTACATACAAAACAACATGAACACAGAATAAACGCACACATACATCCATGCCACAAGTGGAATTCGAACCCACGATCCTAGTGTTAAGCGGGCGAAGACAGCTCATACCTTTGACCGCCCGGACACTGTGATCGGACTTCGCATATATAGGAGCTTCTGAAAGCAACTGAATGTACGTTTATCTGTCTTGGACCTTCCCTGTCCACAGCTCATACACGTACAGCTTAGATTGGGTACGAGTGCCTAATTTCCCCGTACAATGCAAATCAACCCACAAAGTGGCAACAAATGTTTCTCCAGTGAGTTCGTTTATAACCCGTCGCGTTCAACCACTGCCAAACATGGTGCGCAGAAGCTCCGACATGTTGAAACCACAAAGTCTGCCTCACAGCTAGAGGCTCACATTCCCGCAGTCTCAGTGGAATTATTTCCAGAGAATCATGATATCGTTAAGCAGTCAGCCTGTCAGGCAGCAGATGGTGGCCCACGACAATGTTCCCGTCCATCGCAGCCCTAACACTAACGCTGAAGTGGACTTGACACCCATGTTCGCGGATAGCGCCAAAAGGTGAGGGTTGTGGGCGATAAACACACACTCAAAAGTAAGACATGCTTCGTCTGCCCACAGAATGTTATGTAAAGTGAGCTTATCCACAGAGGATGACAGTCTGGGAACAGATGTGCGCTCCGTGAGTACTGGTATGGGTGGATCTGATCGTCGTGAAATACTTCGATGACCCTCACTTGGGCCAGTCCAAATTCCCGTGCTATGTCGAATGAGATTCTCCACGGCTTTCATTCGACAGCTGAAATTATGATATCTTCATTGCCTGGTGTCAGTACACTCCGTGGGCGACCTGCATTCACATGTACCATAAGCGTACTTTATTACGGCATTCAACATATCTGCCGCCGGGCTTTCTTCCGAACTCATTCCGTCGTGAGCACGTCCTTACAACCTATTTCTATAATATATATTTAAATATCATCCTCAGGCAGTATTTCCAGACATTTGCCATGTAAAGTATTAACTAATTAACACACAAATTTACACCTAATTAAGTTACGTTCGAAATACAATAACAGGTAGAATATAACTATTTTAGCAGTGATATTTCATAAAAGCAAAATTATCGAAACGTCCTTGAACACATAAGTCTTTTTTAAATGTTATGCACTCTCAAGAATCTATGCCTGGAGTATACAATGCACGAAAATTAAATCACTTATGTTTCTGTGCATCCGATTACAACAGTGACGACTTTGCGCGTTCTGGGTTGCGTCGATCTATTAATTAGCAGTTTTATATAAAAAACAGTCATTGGGCTTCGTCGTTGCAATAGAAGTTTTACTGCAGCATTGTTTGTAGAAAATAAGAAAAGGAATGTTTAAACCATTCAGCAAGAACCAGAACTCTCGAAAATAAGACAGTGGCTGTTATCAGTCTGGGGTCGTACAGTGAGACACAAAAACAAATTACGCACAGTCTCCGAGAACGAATAAGGGGCTAATTTCAAAATCCAATATAACGACAGTTCAAATTTGCCATTTTATATGAAGAGAATTATTCGCCACAAATTTTTCCCATGAGAACACTCAACAAAAGATTTTGCCATCCAGTTTTGGAACTTCATCGGCATGGCATGCCTCGAGGAAATGAAACATCTGTAAATGAGGCTTTGGACAAATAGTGGCTGGAAACACTTACCCACTACGTGCAGATATCCGAACTGGGTCTTGGCGGTAACAGTGTTGATCTGGCACATATAGCGGCCCTTGTCTTCCTCCTGGACGTTGCTGATGTGGAGGAACCAAGTGCGATGTTTGTCATGTGTCACAGAAATACGGGGATTCCTCGTGATCACGTGGTTGTGCACTGTCAGTATTGCAGACTGTTCGAAGTGCATCCACGCAACCTGCAAAGAAGCCTCTGTCTCACTATTGGTACTTGCTTTCCATGTTAGAAAGTAACCCTTCATACACTGTATATTTTGACAAGTAACAAGATTTACTTCATTTGTTTATTTGAGGGCGCTTCTCTCCCCACAGTATGTAGCGTCACATGCCAGGATGGTCGTTATGAATGGGGAATGATGTGGCGTTGGACGCCTCTTTAAGGCAACTTCTCTTTGTTTGTTTTTTTAATGGGTAGTACAACCACGACACCTTACATAAAGCAGCCAGTCCGTAAGTAAGATCTTCGCGGCTTTCATGCAAGAGTATTCACTGCGCAAACGCGTCTGTCTGAGCAACTTCACAACTTCTCGAACTTACAACCTCTTGCACGTAACTGCGTGGATGTAAGTGAGAAGTTTATGGAGAATGGATAATGTTACGTAACTCAGCGTTTTGTAGAAGGTAATGATAATACTGGTGATGATAATGATGATAATGGTCGTGCGGTCTGAGACCATCTTCGAATAGCTCGAAAACTGCAATCGTGGCCTCGAATCCCGCTTGAGGCTCTCACCTTCCTGTATCTCGTGTTGTACAACGCATGCAAAAACCTTTCTAAGGTCAAACGCCCCGGCCCAAGCAGTTCTGCCAACTGCCTGTTAAGTTTCAGTGTTTCAGGTGTTGATTTTACATGGGAACATGACAGAGTGCCTAATCCGAAAACAATGAATAATAGCAATAAAGTTACCATCATTTAACGTAATCGGAGGGCACTCGGTAGCGTAGTTGGTTGCGGTACTATGCTACAAGCCGGAAGCTCGCGGGTTCGACTGCCGATGAAGTGGATTTCTTCAATTTACCTAATCCTTCCAGCCGCACTATGGCCCTGGGTTCGACTCAGCCTCTAACAGAAATGAGTACAAGGAATCTTCCTGGGGGGTAAAGGGCAGCCGGCGCGTAAGGCTGACAACATCACCGCCATCTATGAGCCTATTGTCTAGATAATGTGGGACTCTCCACGTCTCTAAACCTTATAGGTTTCCATGGCCTGTTACAGGGAAACCTTTACCTTTTACCTTTTTTATTTAACATACCGTATTTACGCATGTATAGGCCGCGTGCGTGTATAGGCCGCAGCACAATTTTCAGATAGAAATTATAGAAAAAATAATTTTCTTGGAATATTATTTCAGGAGTAGAAATTATTCCGAAATTTGGCAACGTTTAACATTCCTAAGTTCGCAACTAGCGAAAATAACGGTACCGCTCGGAACAAAGGCATTGCGGGGGAGAGTTATAACCTTTTCGCCTTTACTTGACTTGACTGGTTAGTTCTGAGTGAAACATGGGTCGAGTAAGAGCAGGTTATACGGCTAAATTTAAACTTCAAGTGGTGCGTTACGCACAAGAACACGGAAATCGAGCAGCAGGGAGAAAATTCGACGTTGACGAAAAAAATGTGCGAAGATGGATACTAACAAAAGATGCCCTTTAAAAAACGTCAAAAATATCGACCTTTCCGCGGAAAGAAAGCTAAATTTCCAGAACTTGAAAATAAACTTTTGCGATACGTGCGTAATACACGGGCGGATGGATTTTCAGTGTCTGTGGAAATGATTCAATTTGAAGGCCTCAAAATAGCGGACAGAATGAAAATTCCTCGTAATGAATTTAAGGGAAGTTACGGATGGGCAAGGCGCTTTATGGCCCGACATGATCTTGTAATTCGGCGACGGACGTCAATAGCGCAGCGCCTTCCCGACACATACCAGGAGAAACTGCTTGCATTTCAAAAACATGTCCTGAAATTAAGAAAGACGCACAACTACACCATGGGAGCTATTGGAAATGTTGATGAAACTCCTGTGTTCTTTGAAATGCCGGGTGAAAGTACAGTGAACAAAGCAGGCGAAAAAACAGTGCATGTGCGGACTGCAGGAGCAGAAAAGCAGCGGTGTACCGTAATGCTTGGTATCACTGCTGATGGAAACAAACTACCACCATTTGTAATCTTCAAACGCAAAACATTGCCGAAAGAAAAGCTTCCACCGGGAATTTTGGTGAGAGTTCAAGAAAAAGGATGGATGACAGAAGAGCTCTATCTGGATTGGTTGAAATCAGTGTGGTTTCGGCGCCCAGGCGCACTTTTACGTCAGCGGTCAATGTTAGTGGTTGACAGTTTTCGAAGCCATTTAACTGAAAATGTGAAAGTGAAGATGAGGCAGGAGAAAAGTGATATGGTTGTGATACCAGGGGGGATGACTGGCATGTTACAACCACTTGACGTGTCAATAAACCGTCCTTTCAAGTCTCATTTGCGGCGCTTTTACCGGGACTGGAGATGCGGTTCCACGGAGATGACGCCGACTGGACGATTGAAGAAACCTTCATTAAGTCAAATGTGTGAGTGGATTGTGGCTGCATGGAACACCATACCAGAAGAAATGGTTTCCAAAAGTTTTAAAGTCACATCCATTTCCAACGCAATGGACGGGACTGAAGATGACGCTGTATGGCTGACATCACCTGACAGCGAAACTTCGAGCGAGAGCGACATCGACAGTAACGAGTCAAGTGATGAACAGTAATATGGTTCAATTACCGTGGACCAACTTCAGAAAGTGTCGCATAATTTATTCATGCGATGCGAAGCATGTTTGCAAGCAGAAGGGGGTCACTTTCAGCACCTGTTATAAAGCACGGTAAGTTTGTGTTATCTTTTTACAGTATTCTTATAAATGTGTGCATGTACAGAAACTGATGTAAGGGTATCAGCGACACGACTGCACTCTCGCTAGCGGGGAGGGGCACAGTAGTCGCGGAGAAACGTTCCATCCGCTCTACGCTGCTGCCCCGGTTTCCTCGATCTTTGAACATCCTGAATTACTAATTATGAATATATTTTTTTTAAATGAAGTGTGATTTCGAATATTTCGAATATAAGCCGCACCACAGTTTTCCTCTTGAATTTTTGGCAAAAAATGTGCGGTCTATACATGCGTAAATACGGTAATCGATATAAGCAATTATATAAACAAGAAAATGGGATGGACTGAGCATACGGAATTCTCGTCGGGAAACTTCTTGTAAAGCAGACAAACTGAACCGAAAATAGGAGGCACGGGAAGCTACTCTTGAGTACACCTTTCAGAAGTGTGCTGTTTCTTATCTTCCTTCCTGTACGTATGTATCGTCGATGCCAGACGACAGTCAGTTCACACAACAGCACACTAAATTACAGCTTACAACCCCTACTTAAAAATAATTAGGAGGAATGATGAGTAATTCTATGCCCCTCATTCCTCAATGTAAACCTGGTTGTCAAGTAGCATATCCCATTATCACAGATGTCAGGTTCCTGATAATACAGCATCACTCCTGGCGAAGAGTAGATGTCACAACCAGAGGGAAATGTAACGAGTTAAGGTAGAACATATACAATTTTTACCGTAAACGCAACAATATTTTATTATTTATTTATTTAGCACGCAGTACATGAACCACGCAGTGCAAGGAAGTACACAATGTAAACGGCACACATTAGCCACTGGCTCCCGACAACATGAAAGAAGAGGGATCTGCTCTCTAGGAGAATGGTAACATTACTATACTAACATGGCGAGCCAGTGCAGCGAACAGCGAAGACATCTGACGAAGCCTGTGCATGGTCTACTGCAGTAACAAACACAAAATTACGTACTTACAATTTATAACATTTTGAAAGATAATTTTTAAATGTAAAATTGTGGATTTATGGTCTAATTATTTAATTAGGTTTAATCTATCGCTATGTATACGACTGTATCAAATGCACGATTTTTATTCTGATTTTTATTCTTATTTTATTGTATTTTACTATTAATTTTAACCAAGGTGTAGTGTAAGTTTTCTATAGATTGTGAATTGAATAGGAACTAACTTGTACGAACCATTTCGAAAAATGGGAATATTAGCGTTTCAGTTAGGTATAGTACGTGAGAAACTTGCAGCACCTGAAGATGATCCATTTGAGGTCGAAACATGCAGTGCATGCCATATAAATAAATTAATTAATTAATAATAAAATAAAATATTGTTGCGTTGACCGTAGAAATGATATATGTTCATTGTATATACGCAACAGGATGCAATCCTTAAAAACTGAATTACGGTAGACTGAGCTGGCTCAAACTGGAATCCAGTCGAGAGCAACTTTGAGCCTTCGTGTTGTATAATAAGGAAGAGACACTGAGGCCACGGAGAGGGGTCCCATGGAAGGCAGGGGTTTCCCTTTCTGTGCCCACTGTTAGTTGTCCCCAGCCTCTCGCAGGGAGGGGGGGGGGACGTAACAACTTGAAGTACTGCTGAAATCTTCTCGGTGGGTCAGCCGTGTCAATTTTGAATTTAAAATCAACGTTTCACAGACCTCCTCTGTGGCCATTATCAGGGCCAAGACCGAGGAGATCTCTGAAACTTTGCTTTTTAACTCAACACTGACACGGCTGATAGCCCGAGAAGATTTAAACATATTTATGCGCAGTGTAGGCTTCAAATCTTATAAAACTTGAGGTTCATTTGGAAAGGGTCGACATATGAAACTTCTGTGTACTAGTATAGAAGCTGGCGTGAATAAATTCTTCCGTATTCATTTTGGCTCACTGTGTAAATGAATCTTCAAGGAATGCATCCTGTCGCGTTAACCTATACTTCGTTTTGTTTTCCGTCTCAACACAAAACTACCAAATCTTATTCACATTTACTGTTTATAATGAGTTTATTAGTTCTGATAGTATGACGATGTCCTATATGTTTCAGCTTATAACACACGACGAAGCTAGATGCAGCAACGGGAGAGGTGGATAAAGTTAAAAAATAAAGAAAACCTGACCGTGAAAATCAAAGAATAAACGTTATAGAACGTCGCAACAAGTGATTCCAAACAGTGCAGCTCCTCCATAAGGAAATCAAATGGGAGTAGAAATAAAACACGCCCGATCACAATCAAAACAGCACCTGTAGATAACTACATATTATAATCTTA